GAAGCAACATGGCAGCACAAAATGAGCACTGACTGGATCAGGAGTGGATTCCAGGCTTAACTCTGGCACCAATCTCTCGCACCCGACACAAGGCTCTTAAACCTCTCGGGGCCTCAGCTTCCTTGTAGGCAAAACACTGAGACCATTAAACACCAGCAATAACACTGAGACCATTAAAACGCTATTGGGATTAAATGCAATCCCTCGAACAGAATTTGCATACAGTAGGTGCTTAATGGTTTTAAACTCCTTTCAGTCAAAAGGAGTCAAAAGGGCTTGGGAAATTGCAGAGCACAATAGCAATCTGAGGGATAACTAATTCTTGGAACAAACCCCCAGGCTGTCAAACGCCTAGCATTCCCAGGGCACTAGGAGGCTGTTTATGTCTAACACCATCCAACCTATAAGCACAAACTCTGCAACAGAGTATCTGCTTCTTACCTGTTTATGAAAGCTGAACCAGGAAGAGAATAGATGGTCCTCCCTGAACCACCTCACCCCCCCCACAATAGTCCCATCAGAATTAACTACTCACTAATCTTTTAATTTAAATGATTCCAAACTTCACTCTTAGAAAAAGAATAATCTGAAAACGTTCTCCAGCCAGTAAAAGGAACTGTCAACTCTTGCAGAGCATCATGGACCTGACTTGGGGAACTCCTGGTATAGGATATCCAACCCCCCCCAGCGGTCATGGAGGGTTTAGATTATGACAGAAATCTTCCTGGGGCACCTGGGTGGCTCATTTGGTTTAGCGTCCAACTTTGGTCCAGGTCATGATCTCACAGTTTGTGAATTCAAGCCCAGCACCGGGCTCTGTGCTGACAGCTCTGAGCCTGGAGCTTGCTTCAGATTCTCTCTCTCTCTCTAGCTCTCTGCCCCTCCCCCGCTTGATTATGCATGCTCTCTCTTGAAAATAAACAAACATTAAAAAAAATTTTTTTTTAAAGACAGTAACCAGGGCACCTGGTTGGCTCAGTTGGTTAAGGGTCTGACTTCAACTCGGGGCATGATCCCACAGTTTGAGTTTGAGCCCCGCGTCGGGCACTGTGCTAATAACAGCTCTGGGCCTAGAGCCTGCTTTGGCTTCTTTTTCTCCCTCCCTCTGTCCCTCCCCCAGCTCACACGGTCTCGGTCTCTCAAAAAATGAATAAATGTTGAAACAAAAAATTTTAAGAAAAAATACAGTAACCTTAGGAAATTTGTTTCAGAGGAGAAAATCCAGAAATAAAAGTATTTTTTCTTCCTCCACACTTCTTAGTTCCTTGTACTACTGCTCATTCTGCTCTAAACCATGCGTTCTACTAGGGAACCACCTTCCAGAAGGACAGGTAGGATGTAAACAAGTATACACAGGTGACTATGTCCGGCTGGGGGCTTATCCGTGCATTCAAATAGCACCAGCTTACAATGTCCATGTGAGGCCCCAGGCATAAAATAATAATTATCCTAGCCCTTTCCAATCTGGACCCAGCAGAACAGCTCCCACAAAGCAGGGTGGTGAGAAGGGCCATTCTGCCATCAACGAGGCAGTGACCAGAAAACACACCATCAACTTTCTCAAGTGCATCCATGCGGTGGGTTTCAGGAAGAGTGCCCCTCAGGCCCTCAAAAAGATTCAGAAATTTGCCACGAAGGAGATGGGAACTCCAGAACTCCCAGATGTGTGCACGGACATCAGGCTCAACGAAGCTGTCTGGGCCAAAGGCACCAGGAAAGGCCCAAGCCGAAACCTTGCAGGGTTGTCCAGAAAGTGTAATAAACATGAAGGGTCACCAAACAAGCTATGCACATTCTCCACCTACGTACCTATCACCACTTTCCAAAATGTACAGTTAATGTGGGTGAGAACCAACCAGACTGTCAAATAAAGATATAAAACCACCAAAAACAATGATAAAAATACTAATTATCAAGCCCTCAGACTACAAGCCTAATGCTTTGCAGTTCCACCACACCTTTGGTGAACATGTTACCTCAACTGAAAGCTCCCTGAGAGCAGCTTGTAAATATGTGTAGCCCAGAGCCTGGCACCCACAGGGACTCAAAAGGCCTACTGAACGAAACGGATAGGATTCTTTCTGTACAAGCCCCACGCAGCTGTTGAGAGGTATTATTTCATGAGTGGGTAACCTGAGGACCAGAGAAGACTGAAAGTTGAAGTCAAAGAATGTTATCTTTGATGTTACCCCCACCCCCAAAACAAGGCTTCACCCTGGGCCCAAACCCAACTTGCCACTGTTCCCCAAAGCCACGTCTTTTCCACTCAGACTGGTGAACACAGATGTGCTCACACCCCGCTCCCTGCCTCATGTACCCTTCCCCGCACATGGGGTGTCCTCTTCCCTAATTCCCACCCACCGTCGTGAGCAGCTCTCGGGCTCAACGAAGCCAGTCTCATCTCCCCGGCTCTTATGAATTCTTTTGGACTCCTAAGAGCACTGAAAATCCCCACTACTCCGCTGAACACTTAACTATGGAGTGGCCTTCTGTTAGTGATCATTATTCTGTGCATCTGTGCTCTCTCGCTTCATACCATAAATCAATCCCTTGAGGACCAGGACGGCTATGAAACCCCAGCTCTCCCTTTTACCAGTTGATCAGTGGCTTTCTTTACTCCCCTGAGCCTCAGTTTCCCCATCTCTAAAGTGGGAAGGACAATAAAGCTTACACTGCAGAGTGGCCCTAAGAAGCAAGTAACGGCTGTAGAATTGCTTCCTGTAAGCTATAACTGCTGCTGTTAATCACCAGCTTTGTTGTTTTATTTCTGTATCCCCTCCCTCCCATCAACCACCTGGCAATACTTTCAAAAGAATACTAACAACACTAAATGTCATGAAAATCACTTTTATGCTTTGCTCCAACAGCACAGAATATATACTAGAACCTCGTTCCGTCCTCTAATTACTTATCTGAACTGTGAAATTAGCTAGGCCTTGCCTGTTGGCTAACTGGCAATGAGGAGGCTGTGCTCTCTTTATGTTCAAGCGTCTTTTACAAGGGCTGGTGGATCTGGGACCTGGTCACAGGTCACAGATGGGCCAGTTGTCCCACATATCCTTTCCAGATAGCAAATTCAACCTGAACTTAACTATTCTGTTATTAACAGTGACAGCTATGATTTATTGAGCCTCTACTATGTCCCAGATACCACGCTAAGTGTTTTATATCCATTATCTCACTTAAACTGTACTACTCTGTATGACCCTCTCTCTCTCTTTCTCTATCAGCAAACTAAGGTTCAGAAGGGTCACACAGCCAACAAATGGGTAAGGTAAAATTCAACTTAGGCCTTCCTGACAGAAGGATCATGCTCTTTCCACTCCCTATGTACCCCTATAGCCCTAATATTTGTAGATTTTTAAATGTCCTTTAACTTCTACCCCTTATCAATTACCTTGGCACTTTGAAGGTGTAGAACTTCCTACTGTAAAGGAAGGAGGAAAAAAAAAATCCTTCCAAGTTCGCCAGGTCCCTCCAGTAACTTGCTGTAATTCAATACCCAAGTGAGAAATGAGGTTTTGGAATATGGCTGCAAGTGAAAGAGCCCCTGAGGAAAGGAAATGAAGAAAATCTAGATAGACATCGTAGTCCATAAAGGTGGGAAGAGACTCTTCCAGGGCCCAGTGTCCATCATCCCTCGCCAAAGACCTTATACTACAGAGAAAAGAAAGGCTCCAAAATGCCAGTTCGCCGCCAGGAGAGGCCTCAGTAACTTCACATACCCCGCTAAAGGCTGATAAATAAACTGGAAAATCGTAAGTGAAGCAGGAAATAATCAAATCACTACTGACAAAACCAGCCAGGCCCACAAGGACAGGAAAGGTCCGGCTCATAAAAGACGTTTTACCAGTCCTTCCACCAACTAGGAGGAACCCGGTTTTAAAAGAAACCAATCAACATTCTCAACTAATCACTTGGCTTAAGTTCCTGCCTTGGGTGAAAAGGCAAGTTGCCTTTTAAGTAAAGAAATCCCATACAGGGGGGCCATTCTGGTGTTCTTTTACCTAGCCTTGGGCTTTCCTTACCCAGGATACTGGTCACCTCTGGTGCCCTTTTCCAGGTGTCCAGAGCCCCCATATAGGATTAACAGGTGCTGCACAGTACCCCTCTCTCTGCATTGTCACCAATAGACTTCAGCTTTGGGCAAACTTAACAGAGCAGGAAAGCAATAGTCAATGTGCAGAGACTACTATAAAGAATATTAAAACTTGAGAACTTGAAGGGACCTACCATATCTCACCTCCAAAACCCTCAAACCACAAAGAGCAGTGACATGGAAAATGTCAAACCAGAAAGAGCAGTGACTCGCACAAGGTCATACAGGGAAAGTCATTGGCAAAGACCCTACCGAAGCCCAGGTTTCATGATTCCCAGTCCAGGGCTCTCATCATTAAGTAACGCAGGCTCCCTTCTTTCCCAGAGGCAGTCAGGCATGCCATCCCCACGCCAAGATAATCACCCTCTAGGAACACTTCCCCACAATCCCAGTCCCTCCTACAGCCTAGCTGAGTTGCAATTCTAATTAGCAAGTCTCGGAGCAGGCAGTATTCTCTGGGAGGGTGCCCGGTGTGAGGGCTGCTGGTACTGAAAAGAGGGACAGGGATGGAGGAAGAAGGGTGTGGGAGAACTAGGTTCTGCCGGCAGTGGCAGCGACACTGTCAGCCTGGATGAGGACGCACTCACTGGCATCTCCCAGTAGGCGAGGAGGTAAGCCGACCAGCAGCCAGCACCACCTCTATCGGCCAGGAAGGGCTGGGCCCTGATCCGGAGGGACGCGCGGAGCATCTCCGAGTCCCAGTTGGGCCTCGGGGAGCCGCCTGGCAGGGCGGCACCGGCGCCGTGAGCAGGCGCAGACAGCCCGTGGGCAGAGGCCCGACGGCAAGGATGCCCGGCACGCCGGTGAGGTGGCACCGGTGCCCGGCAGAGGCCCGCGGTCCTCACCAGCCCCGTCCACCGCCGCCGCCCACCCAGATTGCCCACCCTTCGCGCGGCCTTACCGAGGCACTGCCCCACCGGGGTGCTGAACGGGTTCCCCAGGAGGAACTCCATCTTGAGCGGACAACACGGCAGCGGCCCGGGCCCCCTGTCAGCCGCCCGGGTATCCGCTGTCTCCCGCCGCGCTCCCGACCTGACTGACACTTGCCCCCGCCCCACCCTCTCGAACGCCGAACGCCCGGCCCCTGACCCCACCCCTTGTCGCGTCCCTATTGGGCAACGCCTGCCAAGCCCTTCTCCGATTGGCCCCCACACCTCCCTCGCGAAGCCCCTCCTACCCCGCGGCGTCCGATTGGGCGGAGCTGCGAGCTAGGTCACAGGAATCTCCGTCAGGCGTAGCGGCACCTCCCCTGGCCCGCCCCCGAACGGGAGTCTGTGTATTTTGATTCATCTATATGTTGGTCAATCTAGTGAATCCTTACTATTATTGGTCAAGAGGAGAGTCAATCACTCCAATAGGGGGCGGGGGAGAGGCGGGGCTACTAATATCCCTGCCCATAGAAGGCGCTGATTGGAAAAACATTTGTTTTTTCTACTGCTGGTTGGTGGTAGGAGTATTTCCCCACCCAAGAAATACTGTCACGTGACCGTCAACTTTCACCCAGGATGTCTACCTCGAGACTTCCCCTTAGCAACCGACTGGCCGCGCTTGGTTCCCTTAGCAACCGAGCGAAGCATCTGCTGCGTGGAACCAGTCCGGTAGCCGGCGCTTCAGACGGTGAGACCCTGGACCTGAGAGTGCGGGAGGTCTCGCGTGGGCAGACAGAACCCCGACTTAAAGCTTTCCTCTGACCTTTTTTCTCTGGGAGTCGGCCCGGCGCTCCTCACCTATAAAATAAGCACACAGGTTCTCTGTCAGCCACTTACCGCCGCGCTGAGACCCTGGGCTTCCAGCCTTTGGATGAGAGAAAAACGCTAAGGAAGCATTTCCCTGGGGGAGCAGGGCCCAAAGAGATTTTTAGGGGTTCCACCCCGCGCTTCCTGGCCTGATCTCTTTTATCGAAAGTTACCCGGTCCATTGATAACTTCTTCAGGTGTTTAACCCTCATATCCGACCTCTTCACTGTCATAAAATTGTGTCTCTTCTTTATTTTTATTCTTTACCTTGGTGCTGTATAAAGTATTTTGGCTTGGGATACAGTTACCCGAGCTCCTTGTCTGCCTCTTGTCAGCAGTTCATTGTATGACTTTGGACAATTTCCTTCCCCTCCCAGGCTTCGGTTTCCCTACCTGGGAAATTAGAGAATTAGGACTCCTTTCTCCAATGGCTTCCAGAGCCGACATGTAATCAAGTAATGAATGTGCACTTAGTACCCAGTAAGCACTCGGTAAACAGTTGATTTTTCTTATTAATCCATGGCCGATAGGGGCTTTGTTTTTCAGAGTCAAATGATCCCAAGTTCTTGTTCCACTGGACAACTCTGGTTTTGTTTCTCCGTGAGGAGGCTGCTCCATTGACAGTGGTGTAAAACTCGCTGCTGCTTTTCCCATCTCCTGCCTCTGGTCTTCACCAACAACACCATTGTCAGGCAAGTCAACAGGAACCCAGGTTGGGTGGTAAATTATTGCTAAAATCCCCTTAGGGGAGGAGCGGTCGGGCCTCCACCCCGAGCCAGAACAGCTGTGAGAAACTCTGTGCCCTGTGACAATGAAAATCCCCAGTGCCCTGGGTACGATTGAGTCAGGATTAAGGAAGTAGGCTCTGGAATCCTGCTCTCCGGCCTCCGCCGTATACCATATAGATGTATTAGGCATATTACTCAGCCTTTCCAACTAGCTTCCATTTCCTCATCTGGAAACTGCAGCTGATTAGTCCTACCTGTAAATTAAGTTCCCTTTAATGTGACCACCACTCCCCTCATCTCTCCCCTTACAACCCTTGCAGTTCTCTGTACTGTAGCCAGAGTGAGCTTCTTAAAATTGAAAGCTGTTCACATCACTGCCCTTATTAAGCCCCAGGAGCTTCCCAGGGATCCTAAGATAATAAACTCCTGTAGGCCTCTTCGACCTTGCATCCCTTCAGCCCAAAAGTAACATGTCTCATTCTCTCCCACCTCAGGGCCCTCACTGTGCAGTTCCCTATTCCTCCTTTCCTACCCATCCTTCAGATCTCGGCCCTGTCTCCCCTGGCCAGGTCAGGTGCCCCTGATGTATGCTGTCCTAGTTCCCTACATCTACAAACTTGCCACGGTTTGTAATTAAATGTATGATTATCTGATTCACATCTGAAACAGAGGGAAGGAGATCTGTTTTATTCACAGCTTGTAGTAGCTGTGAATAAAAATGTGAATTCATTACACATGTGTGGGCTACACACACGCTCTTAAACAAATGTAGGAGGGAGGAATTATCCATTTTTACAGATGGGAAATCAAGGGCTTAGACAGGTGAGGTTAGTTGCCGAAGGATGCACGCTCAAGTTCCAAATCCTGTCCTCGTGTGCTTAACAAAGATTGTGCCCCATAACCGTTCCACGCTGCGGAGTGACTGTGGGCTTGACTGAAAGCAAGCCTGATCCTTCCCAGGTGCCAGGCCTAGATGAGGTGGGAGTGATGAGAATTCAGTCAGAGTTTTGAAATCGGAATTAAGAAGCATTTCCCAGAGTACGGCATTTTTCTTTGAAAACGCACAAACACTTTGCAGGTAACATCTGCCAAATCCAGCACATTAAAATTTCCCCAAAGGCAAGCTGGTGTCAGGTTATAGGAAGTCTTAGAAAAAATTGTTTCAAAAGACTGGGGAGATGGAAAGAGGGGGAGGACTAGAAACGTCTTTGGGAGTTGATTCATTCACCCTAAGGAGTTGGAGCCAGCATTGAGAGCCTGGAGAGGGGAAGATGGAAGGCGCAGGTGGAGAAGGG